CGTATAAAAAACTTAGCAGCATCTGACATGTAAGTTTTAGAAGATAATCTTGAGCTGGTTTCACTCCTGTTTTTTACACACAACTTTCCTGATGTAATGAAGAACTTGCTGAATTAATAGTTTCCAAAAAGGACAGACAACTGGGTTATTTACATGGATGTGGGCAGATTGTACATAAAAGAAGCTATGTAGGAAATATATTGTCCTTGTTGCACTTACAAAATCTCATATTCTGGGGTAATGATAACTGCCTATAGGCTTCTAAACATGTGGAGTTCACAAAAGTACCACATTGCTAAAACCTTGTGCTGTGTTGCCTGCCATACATTACAAAGTATTTAGGAACTTGTGCCCATTTGTTAATACATTAGAGGTCTTTTGTTTGTGATTTTCAGAGAGAGAGGTTCCCATCCTGAGGCTGAAAATATTACTCTTTTCCTTTCTAGACACCTGGGTTGCATCTGTTGGTTGAGATCTCCCCAATGGGTGTTTACCTTTTCTTTTCACAAAATGTATGTGGCCTGTTTGTTTTATTTTTGTTTTAGTTGTTTTCTCCTATTTGTTGGAAAAAAAAAAAAAAAAAAAAAGGTTAGATTATTTGATGTGGTCAAGTAGGGCATATCAACTTTAGAATTTGTCTTTGAAAGAATAACAAACCTTTCATTTGCCATTTTAATGAACATAAGGTTTTTGTGTTGGAGTAAATAAAAGGAAAACATTTTTTTCAGGATTTTCCCAAATATAATAGAAATAATGTTCTAAGGGATTGGATTTTAAGTTACTTTTGAATACCCAAGGAAAGCAGAAGTAATTCATAGGCAAAACCAGATACGTAGACGTGTTTTTTTGATGATTATTTTTGGCTACTCTGAATTGAGCCTTATGCTGCATAATCACTTCATGAGACTATAAAATTGTCCTCAGTTTATACCTATGTTGATTTTTTCTTCCTGTGATATTTAGGTGTGATGTAGATGTGTTTTACAAAATAGTTCACAGTTTTTAGTACATTTAAGGCTGAACTGTTATCTTATCTCTTTAGTTTTCACTTATAAGTAGCTCTAATATGTGTCTACTTATTTGGCTGTAATAAATAAAATAATTATAAAATTTAACAAATTCTATTTAATTAAGGGACATATAATAAAATAATAAAAGAATCCACAGATTTATTAACAGAATACTAGAAAACTTTCTGCGGTATGCAGAGAGACAGACATAGAATTGAAAAATATTTACCTCTATAACCCCAAAGATCACTGAAATTTGCTCCATTTCATTGCTCAAAAAGTACATACACTGGACCTCAATTCAGAACTGATCAGTTGAATTAGAGGTCTGACAGAATTTTGCTGGTAATCAGATGAACATGATGGTCTTAATATATATTGACAATGAAAAATAGATTTATATATATGCTAAAGCATGTCAAAGAATAAAGAATGCAATTTTGGGGCTTATTAAGGTACAGATGCTGAAGCATGATGACATAACTATTGCTGTCACATGATTCAGTTAATAACAATTATAATAGAATATGATCAACACTTTTTTTGGTAAGAAATGCAAATTTGGTTACAGCGATTCATTTTGAAAAATTATCTTTTCACATGATTGTGTCAAAACTGTGAATAACAACATTTCTAAGGTCTTTTTCACATTAAATATTTTTTTTCTGTGTAATAGATTTAGTTCTAGTTTATTTCATTCATTCCTTTCTTTCCTGCATTTCCTTCAAATTTATTTTAACATATAAGGTTTTACGTAAGTATCAATCCAAAAATCAACTCCATAACACTATTTTAATTCTGTGTCTTTGGAGCACACAGTGTGTCATAAATACAATCATGTGCAAATTATTACCTACATTATGCAATTGTATTATATAGATTTGCTTATATTTATTTTATGATAACTACATTATTGCATCATAACAGTTAAAATAACAACTTCAACCTTTATTTGCAAATAAGGAACATAATCATTCTCCCTTTCAGCCAAGCACTCCTGCTTGCTGTTCAGAAGAAAAGAAACAGGTGAAGATGCATTCAAATCCAACATTTTTGAAATGTTTAATTGACTTCAGACAATGATACAATTATAGCAAAAGAATAATAAAGATGAGAATTTTCTGTCCTTTTGCACTCATTACATTTCTAGGAATATTTTAGTCCTAATATTTTTTGACATTTAGATTGGTTTTATTATAAGAAAGGACATCTTTTATCATTATAATAAGAGGGATAAGATTTTAAATAGACCAACAATTAGAAAATGTTCAGTGTGCACAAATTATGAAGACATTGAAGCCATTTAAAACTAAACAAAATAATTTTAAAGTTAAAAATGTACCTGTTTTGAGGCACTATTGCTTAGAAAATTTTCAAAGATATACATTATCTGTTAATCAAATTTTAATGGAGTTTCATATTAGTCTGACTGATAAAGTAAATATTCAAAGTAATTGTTAAACATTTGTCATTTGACATGACAGAGCAGGATGACTCAGAAACTATATTTCAGATACCCCATTTTTATTTCTCCAGAAAAATACATGGTTTGGTTTTTGAAAGAAAGTTCAGCATCCTATTCACTCATATCCTAAAGCTGTCCTTTTTTTAAGCACTTTTGCTAAGTTTAAAGACTTTTAAAAGACTTTAATTTAAAACATTTTTATTTTCTTAAGGTACTTTGCATTTAAATTCAGTCCAGGATTAACCTGATGAACTACAATTTTGCAAAGATTATTTTATGACTTCTGTCGACACAAAGTTAGCTTAAGTCTGTAATCTGAACTTTGTGTGAAAATATGTTTTTTTTAATGACACCTCTGCTGGCATGAAATATCTACAAATTAGTGAAACTAATTTTACCTGCCAATAGCAGTAGATGTAACACTTTAGGAACGTGAATTAGTGGTGGACTTGGCAGTATTAAGTTAATGGTTGGACTACATGACATCAAGAGCTTTTTCCAACCTAAAAAATTCTATGATTCTATTCCATCTATGAATACAACTATAGTACATATCTGGAATGGTTAAAAAGCAGTAAGGCATAAGTATTCTGCTGTATTTTGAATCAAAATACTTATTTTAGGACATAACACAATTTCCTGTTCATTATCCCTTTTTCCTCCTTGTTTGCCAGAAATTTCTTGCTAGTTTTACTTGCAACTGTATGAAGTAACCCACATCCATAGAGTCTTCAGTCTGAAAATATCTTAATTTAAGAAAAGATCTGTTATCCTTCTAACATCTAAATGTGTGGTACACACTTTGCTTATGAATGATCTCATGTTTGCAACATAATAGCTTTAAGGCAAGAGAACTGCATTTTCCCTTCTTGGCTTCCTCCAGTTAGAACTTTATCTCTGCCCATCTAGTGAAAATATCTTGAGGAATTATCAGGATACAACTGTGAATAGTAAAGAATAGCTTCAGAACAAAAGTACATTAGTGAATCAAGTAGGATACCAATTTCTCAGTAGGCCTGAAAGAAGCATAGCTCCAAGACTGAAGGATTTATGCCGAATGTCTCTTAGAGTGCCCTGCAAATGTGACTGTAAGTATAGCATATTCTCACAAAACTTATCAATGGAAGGGAAAAATAAAACTCATTAATTGAGGTAATAAAGATTTATGTTCAAGCAGTGAGATGATGACAATTAATACCACCCCGCTGAATGGAACAGAACTGTGACAATTGAAATTAATTTAAGATATACCTCAAGTGTTTTCAGTGTCTGTAGGAGATTGCTTTTATATTTGGGGACAGGAAAAATGAAAGATTCTCCCAGTAGCCAGGCACAGATGATCTACTCCCAGTACTGTTCCTACCTTTGACCCATTGCATCTTTTTTTTTGTATGAAGTGAAACAAGATTCATTTTCCTAGCTAGAGAACTTCTGTTTCTTTAGGGACTGGGCTTAGTCTTTGGTCTAAAATCCAAGTCTTAAACTTATCAAATCAAAGGCAAAATTCCAAGTGTGCTCATGTTCTCTTTTATAACTTCAGGATTATAGAAACTTTACTTTTTCCACTCAAAAACACTGTGTGGTAACTTTAAGAAATAGAAATAATGATTAGCAGTCAGCGTTGTAATGTAATACCATGCCATTTGGAAGTCAATATTACTTACATTGAACTAATTTTGCTGTTGAAAACCAGCATGACAATTTCTTGACTCAGTAGAGACTTGACATAGCAAAGATTTTGCTGCTAGTCATTCACTCAATACCAAACAGTTAACAGTTACTATTCATTTCTGCTTAACCTACGTTATTGAGTCACTGGCATTTGAACCCGCTGTTATTAGGATAAAGCAAAACAGTACAAAATGTGGACATGAAAAATGCTTCAGCTTTAAGCTCATGAAGTGCACTTTGTGAGAGACGCATAAAATATATATTAGCCTTATGTAAATTTTTTAGAATAAAAAGCTACTTTCCAAGCACTACAGACAGACATTTCAGTTGTAGAGAAAGGAGAAATCCCAGTGATTAATAGGTAGCTAAACACATATAAATAATTTTCCTTATGGTATTTACATATGGAAGATGTACATCAATGAAAAGACACTGATAAGTGTACTTTATCAATTTCCTTGTTTCTTTGTTTGCTTTGTAAGAATAGCTAATCTTCCTACGGGCTTCTTTTCTACAAGGAAGTTGCCCAACAAAATCACCTAGAATGTTTCTCTGTTCATAAACAGGAGATTTTAAGAAACATAGATGCTTAAATATTTGATATTAATTTACTAAAACTGCTAAAGTTTAAACTGAATATACTCAAAAGGATGTTACTGAGGCATAGCTCCTGATGAAATCAAGGTCAAGTCTGAATAAACAGTGTAGAACTTGCTAAATAAGACAGTGAAATTGGTTTACTGTTTTTAAAATTCATGGATAATGGATTAATTTCATTGAAACTCAAGATACAGTATTCAGTTGTTAGTATTGTAATAAAAAATATATCAAGGACAAGGAATCTTTTAACTTACTCTTCTACGAGGCACATCCTGTTGTTCTGTCTCAGAACAGAGATCTAAAGAAAAAAAAAAATTATTACTGATAGTAACAGTCATTATCAAATAGCATGGCTTTATGCATACACAGAGTTATGTCTGTTGATAGGAACAGACAGAAATAATTGTGACTCATAAACGTTGTAATACCTGATACATACCTGAAAAGAACAATTAACAATAAAATTTAAATACATATCTGCACTTCTTTCTTTCCTCTTTTTAAATGCACCTGATGTTTCTGAATTTTCTTACAAGTCTTATTATGAATATCAATTCATATTAGAGAACATTTTTAATTTCAGTTTTCATAATTGAATTTTTATATGATGCCATAAGTGAAAATATAAAATGACGCAGAATTCAATACTTCTACTATGGATCACAATTTCCAAATACATACCTTTGTAATTCTTGAAGCATTTATTCAAGTATTGAATTGGTTTACAGACTTTAATGACATTTAAAGACCAACTCAGATAACTCTATAACGTAAAGCACTTACACGCACTGTTTACAAGGCTGCATGAAACTTTATATTAAATATTATCAATTGTCTCAGGGTTTGTTTTTTTCTTTTTCATATTTATTATTTGAAGAGTAGAACTTGAATAATGGCAATTAAATAATAATAACCAGGGTATACTATTAGCATTAACTTCAGTGTTCCTACATCTGTGTCCTTGATATTGATGCAACAAAACTATTCATATGCGGAATTTCAATGTGCCATTGCAGAACTCTGCAATATTTCACATTAAAGGATTAAAACTTAATCGGATTGATTTGAGAATTGGCACTTTATTCACAATTTATTTGAGCATGTGTAATATTTATATTAACATTTCTAATGTGCACATCTCAAGATCTTTGTGCATTGAAGAATAAAATGTTCAAAAGCTCTCTTCACCAATTTTCCTCATCCCTTTTTCTGTTGGTACGGGTATATATGCACCTCTAGCATGAAACCTATACATTCATTGTTCATGAAAGTATTTCAAATGTTTCCATTCAGAAAACCTTAAGATTGTTATAATTGTGAAATTTTAAGGGCTTAAGAACAAGAGTATGTCTAAGAATAACAGTAGTTGTTATTAGAAGGCTGAAATCTACTATACAAGTGCATAAAGATTTGGGTTTAGACCTGCAATAATTAGAAATACCAAATCTTAAGTGTCCAAACAGGAGAAGACTGTTTGCTTCCAGGAAGGATATTTCATTTTATGGGCACAGAGGAAGAAACTTTTCTTAAGAAATTTGACTGTATAAATAATGAATACTAGAAAGTGAACTAGGATCAAGATTTTTCAAATATATTGTTGGGAATATGGACAAGTGGGCAGAAATAAGATAAACATAAAAATTGCAGTCAGGATTTACATCAGAAATAACATATGGTCAGTTCATGACATGATTGACTACACGGCTTTTTACTGCTCTACACATGCAGCTGTTGGCCTAAAGATATTTACAGTTTCAGTTCCTCTGCCAAAAATAAAGCACCAAAAACCCCAATAAAAACAAGCAAACAGGCAAACAAACAAACAAAAAATAACCAGATCTAACCAAGGGCTCAGAATGTGTAAATTTATTTCAGTTTGTGTTCATGCTATTTAAGCTTTGAATTCATTTACTTCAGAAGCTGAATTATACTCCTGTGAGTTATTTACACTTTTAAACTTTGCAAGGTTAAAGTTGTAATTAGCAGTGACCTTAATGTAAATTATTATTTTCCTCCTTTTAAACATAATTAAATAATCTAGACACTCTAATCCTTCTACAGCACACCATTAAGAGCAGTGACTGATCTTGTCACTTGTCAGATTCGTTGAAATGTTTCGAGTAGGGTTTACTGATCATTATCTATATGGAGGGCACGAGAAAGAGTACATCATATTCTGCAAGAATTCTTTGAGTTTAGAAGAGGGGGGCATATCTTTGAAGTGAAAGGAAAGGGTAATGAATTCTTTATATTCAATAACTCTTGCACTTAATTTAAGCTAAGAATCTTTAAGAATCACTGAAAGCACATAGGGCTATTTCAAAGTGTCTAACCCATAGTATCTTAATAAAACATATTAGAAGAAGGCAAGATTTTCTTTCACGTGGCAAATACCTAACTTCAAGATGTCATTCTCAAGATAATAAATATTCAATAGGGCATCAAACACTTATTCCTGATTACAGACAAACTGATCATATCCTGGGGTGGCATCTCACCAAGGTGACATTTGTTTGGCAGCTAAGTTACATGTTTCTTCATGAAACAGTTACTCCCTTCTGCCACCCTTCCTAACCCATTCCTCAGAATACCAATCTTTCTATTATTTTCCTTTATTTTTTAAAATCAGAGGTATTGGACAATAGTGCTTCCAAATAACTTAGTAATTGGTTTCCAGTAATAATCCTACCTGCCCCCTCAAAAGGCAGTTTTCCTAGACCTGAATCTGAATTATGTTTTACTTGAAGGACTAATTTTTACAAGTTTCAGAGGTAAGAGTTAGTGTCAAGAAGAGTGATAGGAACTGAAAAAAAAAAAAAAAAAAAAGAAAGAATTGTGCACTGAATCTAAACAGAGGTCAGAGCCTTTTATTTTCAGAGTTTTGAGCCTTTAATGGCTCATTTGAGAAAAACAAACAGATTTCTCAGCAGCAAGTGAGTGACCTATATGATATTTTGTCAGTGTGAATTAATTCTTTCTTACCTTATTTATATTAGTATCAATTGAAAACAAGTTCACTGAATTTGATATGTTACAATGATGAAAGTAAGCATAAAAATTACATTTCACACTGAAATGATAAAGTGACATAGCTGACTCATAAACGTCCAAAGGATACTTTAAGACAATACATATTTGAGCAAAGAAATAAAAATCTGCATTAATATAACCTCTACCAATGGGCAAAACCAACTTAATTTTTTACAATGCTTTCAAATGGTTTGTGGTAACCTGTGATTGATGAATTTCATCCTCATTTGCTTGACTTTGGGCGATTTTTGTGAATGAAGGCTGAGGTGGGATATACACCTACTTCGTTCCTGAACAGAAAATAATCTTCTCACCCATTTCGTGTGATGAATCATTAAACTGCAATCGAGCTACTTCATACTTCAACTCCTTTCATGATGGAACCATGAAGGATCTTTGTTCTTCAAAGTACTCCCAGTATTTTGGATGATCAGTGTATTCGTGGTAAGAAAAAATATTTTATTTGAATATCAGTCTTGTCATGCTCTGAACTCCAAGGCCTGTTCCTTACTCATCTTATGTCCATGATATATATCATGTAGAAAAAGAAAAATCTGTTCTGGACAGTACATTGCTGTACCCAGGCATAGATGTTCTGGGTTTGTCCTATGTCTTTTCTTGATTATGTTATTAAAGATGCCTAAACCCTAAGATTTTTGTAAGGTATTTCAGTATGTAAAAGACAGATGTAGATTTGCCAGAAATTTAATCATCTAACTCTCATCAATGTGATTTCTAAAAGCACCTGTGTAAGTTAGGTGTTTGAGTGCTTTTCCAAGCATACTAATTCCTTTGAAAATTGTCTGCAAGACTTATGTCAGAGTTCAAAATTAAAGAGGTGTTGTTATGACTAGACAGATCATGACATCAACAGCTATTCTGAGATTTATTATGAAGTCATCTTAATCGAGGGCATCTGATCCTTCATTTGGGACTAGGACTGATGGGAGAATTATGGTCTCATCTATAGCAATTCTCATGATGTGTCTGTGAATACTGCTTCCATGGATATAAAGCCACTGAGTAAACATTAGCTTTATTTATAGAATGGTATTTCTTACTAAAGTTGCAACTGGAGGGTTTTAAACTGTATCTGACACCTGTATACTTATTTGCACCAACTGTGAAGTTGTGAGTCAGTCAGTAGTGTGAAAGATTTGCTATCTAAGGCAAACAGGGATGAAATGGAAAGAAAAAAAAAAAAATCAAAATTTAACGTCTCTTGAAAATAGACACAATTACTGTCAAAAGACTTAATGCATTTAACCATTAATGTATGAATATTTGTCTCATATTATTTTGTTAGGTATTTCAAGACAAGAAAACATGCAATATTTCAGTCTGTTGATTGCCTTCAAGGATCTTTGTTGCAAAGTCCAGCTAACTAGGGTATACTAATTTCTTGCAACAGCTTGTCAATTATAAGTAAATGCACACATTGGAAAAGCAAGAGGGTTCAGAATAGAGGGTACTAAAATCTTTCTAAAAGGGGAGAATGAAGTGATATCAACACATAAAATGAACAGCTTATAAGCACCTAGATAATGAAAATAAATAGAAAAGCATTCTCCAAGACATGGGTCCATAAAGACATTACTAATTCACAGAGGAAAAAAAGAGGAAAATATATTCAAAATGTTGTCTTGGGATACCATCCAGGAATCCTCATTGTATCACAGTTAATATATCTGTGTAAGTGACTTTCCTTATATAACACAGTACACAAGAGAGCAGAATTTGATTTCTTAAATACTGTCTAGCTGAATGTAGAATTAGGACTGAAATAAATCGCTTCTAGTCACAGCATATTAATCTCCAAAATCCTCTTCATATTTTACCACTAAATGATAATTTTTAAATATTAATAAATCTTTGGAAGCACAGAATATGCATGATCTTTTTCTTCCTACTTAACTATCTACTATCTAACACAAATATTTAACATTCAGTCAAACTTATTACATCTTCAATTTTGTGTTAGAATAAAAAAGCTGAATAAAATGATGACTGTTCTCCATTTTTACTCTTATAAAAAGAGGATCCCACTGGAAAGTCTTGGCAATAGGCTGACTTAAGTTTGTAGGCATGAAAAAATATCCATGAGACCCATTTTGACAAAATTTGTATGACTGTTTCATAGTATAAATTAAACAAGCAACATAAGTTGCATTCAATATCTGTGGGTTTTGATAGTCTTGACTTTAACTCCAAGAAGTGCTTTAATTCCTTGCCTTCTACCTCAACAATACTGAACAATTGTTTATTGTC